AAAATGAACTAAAAAATGTGAAATTAGCCGAAGAGGCTAAAATTAGCTTAAAAACAGCTAAATAGTAGCTAAAATAGCAGAAAAAGTTGAAACTAGCAGTAAAAAAAGCTGAAAGGAGCATAATCTGAAATTAGCATAAAGAAGTTAATTAGGTTGAAAGTAGCAAAAATATTATGAAAAACTGGAATTTTTCTGAAAACAGCTGAAATTAGCTAAAAGGGTTGCTGAAAAGGTAGAACAAGCTTAAAGCAGCAGAAGAAAGCACAAAGAACGCATATTTACCCAATTAGGTTGAAAAAAAAGTAGAAATGAGTGCAAAAAATGTGGAATTAGCTGAAAAAGCTAAAATTAGCATAAAACAGCTAAATAGTAGCTGAAATAGCAGAAAAAACTGAAACTTGCAGAAATAAGCTGAAAGGAGCTTGCTGAAATTAGCAGAAAAAAGTTAGAAGCACAAACATGTTGTAGTTAGCAGAAATAATCCGAAAGGATCACAAAACAGCTGAAAATAGCTGAAAAAATGTTTAAATCTGCACAATGAAGCTGAAAGAAGCTGAAACAGAACAAAAAGTGAAAGGAGCAGTAAAAGGTTGTAAACCGATCTGAAGATTTGAAGGATGGAAAATGAGCTCAATTAATTTTCTATGAGAAAAACATGGCAGAAAACGCTAAATATTCAAAAAAGCTAAAGTTGCACTAATACCAAAAGTCAAAGCAGGATTGTCCTGAAAGAGCTGAACATTTTGATTTAGGATTGTTGAAAAATCTTGAAAACTGTGGGACGAGAAAGATGACGAAAAATGGATCACAATAGTGTGAATGCTTCATAAACATTCACACGATAACCGTCCAGTAAGATAAAAAAATATCTCTACATGAGAACATGTTTTAACAGATAAAACTGTCAACTCTATAAATATCACAAACGTGTTAAATCATCCTGACAGGAAAGGATTCCTTCCAATGAGCTCGCTGATGAAGCGCTCAGACAAAACACAGCTCTAATGTGTTTTTAGGCCCAGCTTCCAGTTCACTCCTCCATGATTTGCAACAAACCACATCAACCTCAACCTCCTGAGGGTTCCTGAATGTTATTTTAAATACTGAAAAACAAAACTCATACTTCACAGTGGCTTATAAAAGATTCAGTTGGAAATAACACATTTATAAAGTTCAATCAAAAAAGTTGCAATATAGTATACAAGTAAACTGGGGGGAATATGTGAAAATATCCAGCTGTAAAAAAAGAGACTGTTTTAACAACTTGAACTTAAATAATGTTGATAATGCAGAGAGCAAGAGCTCTTAAATTAACAGTCGGGATCCTCCATGAACACTAAAACGCACCACACACAAACTTGTGGCAGAACATCCCTGCCTGGTGCAACGAAAATTAAATTAAATCTGAAGGCTAAACTGAATCAGTGCAGAACAGATGAATGATCTCCAACCTTAATAGATTTGGTTAAATTTTGACTTTCATTCAAACTTTCTTCTGAATATCATCCCCACATCAACACTGCGCTTTCACCTAATAGTTACTCCCCATGAATCACTTGTTACTAATAATTTTACCAAATATTTATGTAAAAAATCCCTTCCAGGTGTAAAACTTGACTGAATAATTATTGACTGAGCAAAAAAAAAAAAACAAGTTAAATAATAAAAGTGAGATTCTTAACACTGCAGTAATTCTTGAACCAAACTGTTCTCAGCTTTCCTGCAGGAAATGAAATCTCCATCGTCTGGAGCCAATTTGTTCATAAAATGAGCCGCCAGAAAGACTAAATTTAATAAACAACAATCCTTCCTGACAAACAGAGCTAAACCAAGTGATGCACAGTTTGGGAACTCACTAATATTTCAGATGTTGTGCATGTCAGAGAAGCCTTCAGCCAACCAGAGCAGAGCTGAAACCACAGCTGTGACTCCTGAAGCCATCCCAGCTTCAGCCATGGTGCTCCAATGAGCTTTTAACATCATGTAACATCATACACCAAAGAAAGGTGGATAAGGAATATGATCAGTGTGAAAAATGTTACGCTTCATTTAGTGAAAAAATGAGAAAGTTTTGTTTTACTTTAGCTCTAAAGTCATATGTGAGGTTTACATAGACAAGAGGCAGTCAGAGAGATGAAGTGTGCCTGCACACAACAAGACATAATAATAATAATAATAATTAATAATGATAATAATAACAATAATAATAATACCAGTCATAGTAATAACTTTCCAGGTCATTTATTATAATGGATATCTACTGTGTAAGTATCTCTACAGCTACTTAATTAACCAGGGCACCTGTCCAGGGTGGCATGGTGGTTCAGTTGCCTCTCAGCAAGAAGGTTGCTGGATTGAATCCCATCCAAGGACCTTTCTGTGTGGAGTTTGTATGTTCTTTCCTACATGCGTGGGTTTTCTCCAGGTACTCCAGTTTCCTCCCACAGACCTAAAACATGCATGTAAGGCTGACTGGTAACTCTAAATTGTCCCTAGGTGTGAGTGAGAGAGTGAATGGTTGTTTGTCTCATTTGTCTCTATGTGTCCCTGTGATGGACTTGAGACCTGTCCAGGGTGTCCTTTGTCTCTCGCACAGTGACTGCTGGACATGAGCCCTAGTGATCCCTGCAATCTGAAAAGGAAGAAGTGGATAAAGAGGATGGATGGATGGATGGATGGATGGATGGATGGATGGATTTCTTTGTAATATCTGAGTTCTACATTAAAAAGAAGAAGCAAGTGCTATTTACTGTTAATAATAAAACTACATAAAAACATTATTTGGAAAGTTATATAGAAATAACTAAAAACATCAACTGATTGAAAATTTGATTTAAAAAGAAAAAAATAGGATAATTCCTGAAAAACTCATACTTTTAAGATTATCGTAGATTCAGATGTCACAGTCATTAAACACTGAAACAAAAAGGAAACCATTTATTTATTTATATTTATATCCAACTATTCACATCAAATTAGAGATTTAGTGATATTTGTCCAGTAAACATTTCAGGTTCCAGGCTTTTTAAGCTACATTTTGATACATCTTGATATTATGGGCGGTTCCAGAGCTATGCCTTAATTTGTTTTGCTAATCAGGATTATCCCTGGAAGGTCTGTCTGAATCCTACATTGAGCGTCTTCTAAGAAGGATTTCTTAACATTGTTAGAGGGAACCTCAAACCATATTTGGATACTGGGATTTCACAGCTGGTATTGAAAACAGCTTTACCCGTGCACAAGACAAGTGGCCAAAATTTAGGGGGTTTGTGCTCAAAATCATTTTTAGTTGGTAGTATTTCATTCAAGGGCCTCATTGATAAGGTATTCATTCATTATATTTGGACAAAATCCAATATTTGCACATCTTTCAACCAAAGCACTTAATGCTGTATCTCACTACACCACCATGTGACCATCTGTTCGCCGTCATGGGTCACATATATGATCAATGAGCCTCTTGTGTTGCAATTTGAAGAGTCTTTTTTGGTTTTTATCGTGATGGAACAAATTAAAAAGGACTCAGAACAAAATGTGTTTTAAAAACATTTCATACAAAGTTCATCCAACTTCAATGGACATACAGATTATTATATTTGGGAAGGGATCGACCAAATCTTGGATGATCCTTTCCCAACCACATTCCTGACATTACCCACAACCACGCAGCATCTGCATGTCTCAGCTGACATTGAAATTTAATTCTAAAGCATTTATCAGCCGATACCAATATGCCAACTCTAAATTAATACGACAACACTGAATTCACTCAAACTTCTCTTGTAAAAGCAGGTGATATGTTTCGAAAGGATCTTATTTTATGATGGCCACAAAAGACGTCATAAATATGTTTAAAATTCCTCAACATTCTTAAGAAGACAAAAAGCAAAATAAATTGTTAAATAAAACCCAACCTTGCTTTCATGTTTAATCTGACCTTTAAGGGCAGCTGGCTCTTTGAAGAAATGCTCAAATGTTTTGGAGTCCAAACCTCGGATTATTTATTTAACTTTATTTAATGTCCGAAGTCATAAAAATGTCTGGAATTCTTTGTGGCACCGCAAAAGGTCCTGCATGTTTTTCCTCCTTTGTCGTTTCACATGTTCAGACCTCAGTGGGACCCGTGCACAAGACCAAGTATTCAAACATAGCTGAAATAGTTTGTGATGAACTTTCCCACAACACTTTCTCTTTAATTCTTCTTTTCCGAAGCCCCAATCCCCGCTCTTGGTTTTGTCGCTGGATGTGCATATAGAGCATCATTTAGCAGGAGTCTTATAAACCAGCCTACAGGTCTCCATTCAACTGACTCAAAGGTTAAGGTATTGTTCTGAAACTGTGTGTATTTGTTTTTTCTTGATACAATCTGTGGATAAAAAGGCCTCAAACCACTGTTAAAGTATAACGTCAACTATTTTCAAAGACTGACCTTTGTAGCTTATACACTCCCCATTATAAAACTGTCAAAGGTGGCTGTACCCTGCTCTTCCTGTCACATGGTGCGCAGTGCTTATAAACCCCATTTTAGGGCTCCTTCTGTGGCATCACAGACCAGCAATCCAACAAAGGCAAAGAATTCAAATTTATTATTCTAGCAAACTAAAGCCAGTGCAGTTAAAATAAATATGCTCCAAATAATGGAACGGACAAAACCTTCAGCTCTATTTTCTGAGTGGGCTGCAGACAAAAACTACAACTACAGATGCACGACAGATTCACTGTCATCAAGCCAGTACAAGCTCCACGTACCCAAACAATCCTGATCTCTACTTATAAAGTAGAAAGTATCAAAAAGCATGAATTCAGACAGGAAAAAACAAAGAACTGGCTGCAAAGAACAGTAATTTCCCAGAAAAAAAAAAAGAGTTTCTCCAAAGATGTTTTACGGCTAGAGATTGAAATAAATGGCGAAAAAATAAATAACTCAAAAATGTGCAAAACAAAGTGAAAACCTGATATAGATGTGAAACTTACAAAAGGAGCTAAAATGTGAAACAAACCTGAGACAGTGGTCTGGACAGCTGGTTGCTCTCTGGTGACCATGAGCGCTGCTGGAAACTAACACAAGGACAAAAACAGGCCATGAGAACTGCTTCACAAGAACTTTGACACAAGACAAACATGTTAACACTCAGATTTTACATGCAACACAATAACAATAATATCTTAGTGTGAACATTAAATGTTTTAATTACAAAAGTCATCATTTTTGTAAAACGACATCAATTGATGGGATCATCAATATAAAGTTGTTGGGTTTTTTTAGAGCACTTTTCACAGACTTAAAATCACAAAGCGTTGTACAAAAACAATCAAAGCTAAAATATACAAAGAATAAAATAAGCATAAGAAGCACAATAAAATTATGACATAAAAGCCTGGGAGAATAAACGTGTTTTCAGTTCGATTCAACGGATGGTGACAGATAAATCCACAATCACATTTTTCATACCATGATGAGGAAATTTAGAGAACAAACAGTATGACTGTCATGTTATTTAATCCAAACCGTTTAAAACTTCTTTTCTCGTTGAAGACGCTTTGCTTCTTATCAGAAAACCTTTATCGGTTCAAACTGAAAGCTGCAGCAGAGCAAGCTTTAAACTGCAGCTAATATGTTCCTGTTTTAGAGCTTGCATCTCTGGACCTTTCAGGTTGAATTGATTAAGGTTTCTTCCTGTTAAAAGGGAGTTTTTCCTTTCCACTGCCACCTTTGTGCTTGCTCAAGATGGGAGACTGTGACGAAGTGACGATTCAACGTAATCTGCTGACTTCCTTAGATAGAGAACTTTACTAACCGGCTTTTTTATCTATGTGAATGTTTCGGTTCCGTGCTCTGAGACAACTTCTGATGTGATTTGGTGCTACAGTATATAAATAAACTGATTTGAATTGAGCTCCTCGGATGAGAAGCAAACATCTTCAGCAAGAAAAAAGTCCAATCCCCTTAAGTCCAACAAAGTCCATGCTCAATAATCCAGGTATACAATCCAACAATTTTCAGTCAGGTCATCTGGACAGTTTCTTTTTTTTTTTCTTTTTTTTTTTTTTTTTCTTTCTTGTGCTGAAATGTTTCACCTTCCATCCGGAAGTCTTCATCAGTCAAGGAAACAAAACAAAACCAATTCTTCCCCAAACAGCTTACTCCAAAGTGGAACAAACCAGTTATGTTGGTGCTAAGATGGTGTCTTTGGCACGCCCCCTCCTCCGGTGCCGGCCCACTTCCTCGTCAACAGTCATGTCAAACTGGTTCAAAACCAACAAAGTCCATGCTCAATGATCCAGGTATACAATCCAACAATTTTCAGTCAGGTCATCTGGACAGTTTCTTTTTTGTGTGCTGAAACGTTTCACCTTCCATCCAGAAGGCTTCATCAGTCAAGGAACAAAACTGATTCTTCCCCCAACAGCTTACTCCAAAGTGGAACAAACCAGTTATGTTGGAATTGCTAATTGTTTGTTCCACTTTGGAGTAAGCTGTTGGGGGAAGAATCAGTTTTGTTTTGTGCGTTTCCTTGACTGATGAAGCCTTCTGGATGGAAGGTGAAACGTTTCAGCACAAAAAAAAGAAACCATCCAGATGACCTGACTGAAAATTGTTGAATCCCCTTAAGGGTTTTGCCATTTCTTACATGATTGAGTTGTACTTTAGTAGTTTTTGTTGTTCCAAAATCATCTTTAACTAGTTACAAAGCAAACAATGACAAAACAAGGTGCTGAGCTGAATTCACATAAAAATAAATAAATAAAAACAGGAGAGCAAACAAGTGGCATATGCAGAGAGACCACAGTGAATGTTCCACATTCTGCCTTTTGTTAAAATGAATGCAAACAGAAGAATGTGATATCCTGTGCATATCTATTGTTACAACAGTACAACCCACTTTCTCTGTGCTAGTCTCATACCTATTGACTTGCTGTGGTATCAAGAGAGCACTTGCTGCAGCCTTTTGTCCACATGCAGGCCTGTTTATGCAATGAATGGTTGGCTGTATGAAATACAATCAGCTGTCTAGGTTTTTCAGACCATTTTCATACTGAATGAGTTATGTTTACATCAACTCTTTTGCAGAGACTGTTCAAAGTGAAGGTTAAAGCAACCAGTCAAACTGTGAGACCATAAAAATCCTTTGCATGTGATGGTAAATCCAGATGATACATCAAGCTGATGTTTTTTTTACCTACCATGACAAACCTCGTTGCATCTTTAGGCATTAACAGCAGTAGGGTGGTTCAAAAAATAATACAATTTACAGCTGATGTGCATTAAAATCCAATCTGATCAGTACAACTGAACAAAGTACATCATTATAGTGACAATAGAAGCATCAAACTGGAGCTACCTCTTGTTGATAATCGGTGTCAGCCTGCCCTTTCTGTCCGTACCACCAGGGGAATAAGGAGAGTACGGTCCAGGAGACAGAGATTTAGTGTTTGAAATTGTGTACTCTCTATAGTTCTGGTTCTCGTCTCGACTCACTATGACTGCCTCCTAGAAAGAAGGAAAAAAGCGTTACAAGATGATGAGATTTCATGTCCAATGGAAGTTGAACTTCCCTAACAGCACACACAACAGAGTATAATAAATGCATTAAATTGAAAGTGTTGTAGGTGATTTTGTGCTAATTTTTTTATTATGTCCTGCTTTGCTTCCCACATGAGAATAGACTGATATGTAATAAACAGATGAATGATGCATGCATGGAAAAAAATGAAGCACGAATCATGCAAATAAAGACATTAAGGAGTTGTTATATGAATTGTAAAAGCAATAGTACATTTGTTGGATATTAGTTTGACTCGAGCTTTGATTTTGTGTTTTTTGGACAAAAATATAAATAAGTAAAAAGTCTGGTGGAGTTTTAGAACGGACCTGGAAGCGTTCAGCAAGCAGTTCAGGGGTGCTGACACCGTTGGTCCGTCCAGAGCTGGAAGGTTCAGGTCTTCAAGGGAAGAAAACCACAAAATTGATCAGACTTTAAACGCTTAACAATATCTTATAACCCTGAGTTCAATTTTACAGCCATGCACCAGGGATGATCTTGTCCTTATACTGGTGGGGGAAAAATATAAAATGAGTAAGGAAAAGGAAATCCCATGTAAAAACAACATCTTCAAACGGACCTAAGTTACATTAAGAACAAGTTGTTGCAGAAAAAGAAAGAAGTTTAACTTGCAAGGAAAATGCTGAGCAAGGGGGAAAAATGTGCTTTCCAAATGTCACAACTCTAAGTGAACTTCATTTTATGTCTGGCAAGTCAAAATAAAGAATAATTGGGAAAAAAATAATTTGTGAACACTCTGGGCAGGCGTTCATGCTCATGTCGCTTCAGCAACTGTCAAAGATTACTAAAAACGAGTTCTGCAGACTCTGTCCTCAGTTAAAACTATGCTCTCATTAACTTTCTTTCCAAGCTGTTCCTTTGCTAAAATAAAAAACAGATTCTGACCGCTAAAATCATTGAATTAGGAAGGGAAATTTCAGCAGTATAAATGCCAACACAAACATGGAGAGGCCTCCTGACTGCAGGACTAACAGCTTCTTGTTTAAGTCCAAGGTAATGAGGCACAAAAGAAGGCTGAGATCCATTATCTTTACCCGCTTCATCCTTTCTGAGGGTGCAGGCATCACCGATGCCTACATCCAGCAGTCACTGTGCGAGACGCCTGTGGTAAATCACCACGAAGGCTGGCCTCGAGTGGCCTTACCTATACATACTGCATGCAAAGGAAAATGACAAAGATACAGTATCTGTAGGCTCCTCAGTGATCTATTGGTATAAAAAAAGAAAAAAAATTGAGCAGAAGCTGTAAAGCTGCAAAAATGTTACGGTAAGCTTTAAATTTCTTCTTTGTATTCTGTGCTTTATTTCAGGACAGCAAAAGATGATAGGCTTTTTAGAGAACTAGATTTATTTTAAGCCAGGGATGAAAGTTTTTCAGACCCAGGCCTCTGGAGGATTTCCAGAGACCATTCTAACACACAACAGACTGGTTAGGCAAAGACTCCTCAAGACAGAAACGATAACGACTTGGGATGAACCCCCATCCATGGTCATAAATCAAAGCACAGAATATCCTCTGACAAACACCCAACTTGGTCTAAGCTCAGGTATAAACACTGGAAACTACTTGAGACTCATCAGACTGGACAGAATTATCACAAAACACTCTGTTTCCATCAGTCTGATGACAACAGACATAACAGACGGAAACACGTCTACCAAACTTTACTGTGCAACATTTCCACATAGCAATGGCAGCTTTTTAAAACTCTGTTTATTTTAAGAGTATAAATATTGTACATGTGCAGTACATACTTCCAATGTAAAAAATGAAATACATAACTTAATGTGATGTAATGGTTTAACTTTAGTATTTATGCACTGGTATATGTCATAAAGCTTTATTTCCTTTACCTATTTTTCACCTTTTTTTAAATTGACTGAGCTCCACATTAAAAATTCTTATGTGATTGTGTGCAATATTAATGTTTAATCCTGCAAAGACTAAATCATTTGTGATAAACCCACATTTTTCTCACCCTCACATTTACTTCCGTCATCACTATCATCTAAAACACGTGCAAACCTCAAGGCCAGTGAAAGTCTTTTGCGATACTGAGAATACACTGAGATATTGAAAGGACGATATGGTTGTTTGTTTCCTCCGTCTCCATTTGTCCCTGTGATGGACTTGCAACCTGTCCAGAGTGTACCCGGTGTTCTAGACTCTGACTTGAAGTTTAATAAACAGATTAACTCTGTTCTACAAAAAAAAAAGCTTCTTCCAGTTAAGGCAGATAGTTAAGCTTAAGTTCATGTTGACCAGATCTGATCTTGAAACATGAGTCCATGCATTTGTTACAACCCAGCTAGACTGTAACACACTTTATGTTGGGGTCAGTCAGGTCTCCCTTTCACGTCTCCAGCTCATCCAAAATGCTGCAGCTCGGCTCTTAACAGGAACTGGTAGGTTTCAGCACATTTCACCAGTTTTGTCCTCCCTTCACTGGCTCCCTGTGTCAGAATAGATTTTAAAATTCTCCTGTTGGTCTTTATTTGCATTAATGACCTTTCACCCTCATACCTCTCTGACCTCCTTCAACCTTATGTTCCTTCTCAGGCACTGAGATCATCTGACCAGCTGCTTTTGGTTGGACCAAAAACCAGGTTGAAGCTCAGGAGGCTTTTTCAGTCATGGGCTCTAAACTGTGGAAGAATCTGCCCTCAACATTAGACAGGACACTTCACTCCCTGCATTTAAATCTCTCCTAAAAACACACCTGTATCCACTGATGTTTAACACAGTGTGATCTGATTTAGTATTTCATTGTTTCTCATTGGTTTTGTGTTTTATGTTTTTATTTTGATGCTTTTAATTACATCTTATTATTTTTCACTGCCTTAATCTTATTGTTAAGCACTTTGGTAACAGCTGCTGTTTTAAATATGCTTTATAAATAAATTGACTTGACTCCCCTGACTCTCACATAGTGACTGCTGAATACGAGCACCAGTGACCCTCTGAGCTGGAAAGGAAGAAGCAGGTAAAAGATTATTGATTGGTTGATTGATGGAAATTTGACCAGATCGGCTTTCTGAAAATCAATCCAAAAATACACATCATCCTAGCACAGTTTTGTCATAAATAAACATTCAGGAGTTACTTTGATGGTCGAGTCCTTGCGAGAGTGACTGAAACAGTGTGAGAAGAACCATTGGCCATTATATCACCACTTACACTGCATAAATAAAGTTACAAGTTACCAACAAAACCAAACTGAGAAAATTTAAGGGTTGTAAGCAAAGTGAAAGCTCGGTTGCTCTGAAGTTCAAAAATATACTTCATAAAAAACTGGGACGAGTGTGCTGCTGGATGTGCCACCAGTAACTTCATACAGTAAAGTGTAAAGCACCACTTTGCAGCCAAAACACCAACACAATAGTAATTGAGATCGCAGTTGAATTTGTGCCAAACAGATGCTGAGCTGGAAAACAACAGCGTGATTTATCCTTCTAAATTATCATCATCTCAAGAGCTTGTTTGGGCATACTGTAATTCAAAAGCTTGTAAATTTGCATTTAAAAAAAAACCCCTCTGAGATGGATCACAGTCTTAGCTGCTGGAAACCACTGAGAGTAAACAGAGTGGGACTAAGAAAAGGGCAGAGCACCATAGGGTGATTGTACCGGCCAGGCAAAAAGTAATGGTCTGTCTGCCTTGGTGGGAGACATGAGATCAGAAGGGAAAAATTCACTCACATGGACGAAGGACATCCGCGAAGGAAGTACAGGGAAACGTGTGCAAGTGTGTGTGCCACAAAAAGGGAACACATACAAAAACAGATTGATGGGAGGGTGGTACAGCAGTGACCACATGAGAATTTAGGGAGGAACTTTAATCAAAACACCAGCCAACAGTGTTTATGACTTAAGGAAAAAGCTTTCTGGAGGCCAACACCTTGTCATTTGAACAAGGTTGTAGCAAATCTAAAAAACAAGATTTATTCGGAGAACAGGGAAAGGAAGAGAGGCGCTCTCATACATCCTGGCATTTCCCCTGATTATAATCAGCCGTTTTGTTTGTACAGTGCTTCTTGATAGACATAAATAAGTGTAAAGACTTTGGCCTTGGTACAAAATACTTAATTACAGGCAAGCAAGATTTTCAGTGATGGACTATGATGCAAAAGTGGATGATATTGCACTGCACAACTTCTTATTTTTGCAAATACACATGTATTTATAAAATAAGTGAATAAGTAAATACATACCTCTCCACCAGCAGCTGCAGATTGGTCTTTGAGTTCTTAATTTTGCTCTGGGCCTCTGCATTCAGCATCTCCTCTGTGTTTTCCCCATTGATCTCCAAGATCAAGTCACCAGCTTGCAGGTTTGCTTGCTCGGCCTTGCTGCCTGCATTGACCTGTTCAACAGAAGCAGCAGGTCCAGTTAGAAACTACTGGCCCAGAGTCCAGTGCTTAATTTGAGCCAGAACAGGAGAGCTCTCTTATTTTGACAGGGTGTGTTCCGGTAACTGTTTGCTATGATCCGGCTTTGATCCTTCAACTCTCAGGCTTACTAATAATTAAGTTATGAATAAATATGACTGCACTGAACAAATAAACATATTGGATATGTAAACTGAAAATAATTACATAAACACTCATTTTAAACACAACAGCCACTTACGCCCATACAAGCTGCTTCTTCAAGTAGCATTTCTGCGTCTACCCTTAAAAGAATCTCTAACCCTAAAAGAGTGGTGGGGGTGAGTGCCAGACAGTCGTATATGGTGACTTCCATAGTTATATGCGAGCAGGAGCCCACAGGCAGCCACAGGCTGGCACCTGGAGGTTTCACATGTGGAGTAGGACAACAACGAGCAGGGACAGAGTTGGGCTCAGAACCGTCTGGGGGGGGGGGACGGGTAAGGATGCTTGACAGAAGTGAAGTGTTTACAAATGTAGATAAACTTAGATGTTTAACAACCTGATAAAATACAACAAAATGCAGGAAATGGCATCTACTTTATTCAAAATTTTCTGGGGGAGGACCCCATTACACCCACCCCCTCTCCAGCTATTTACATTCTGGCATCGATCGTTTTACAAATTAAGCCCTGCCAGAGTCCTTCAGAAATGACATCCATACATTAAACAGACAATGGAGGATTTTACGAGAGTGTGGACAGTCTAGGTGTGAGTGACAGTGTGAATAGTTGTCTCGTCTGTCTCTCTGTGTCCCTGTGATGGACTGACGGCCTATCTACAGTGACTGCAGGAGATAAGCACCCAACAACCCAGAAGGGAAAAGTGGGTTAAGAAAATAAATGTAGGGGTACTGTGATATAATTTTGAAGTTAAGCTACCATCATTAAGAGCAGCAATAAAGGGAATGCAAACAAAAATGTACATCAATAGCTATTCAGAGGACTGAACTCCCTCCTGCCTAGTGGAAACAAAGTGGACACAGAGAAAATGCCAACCTGCAGGCTGTTCATCAACGAGCTGAGCCAAGCGCAGGGCAGAGGTGCCATGTCTGTGGGCCCACTTGTGGGGTAAACAAGCGTTGCTGTGGTGACCTATAATAGTATGTCTTTTCTTATATCAGGTCACGCCTGGTTTCACATAAGCTAAATTCAGCTGGGGGTTCATGTTTTAAATGTGTCTGCAGACGAAAATGAAGAAGATCTTTAAGGCCAATCAAATAAAAGAGGGCGTTCATGTCATGCAAACTGTGCAAACCACAACCGTGTCAGATTATCCAGCTCTATAGCTGTTAATTACTGGTGTTAAAACAGGGTTTCCCATGTAGTTTTATTGATTTGGCCCATTTGTTTGATAAATGATGTCAGTTCAGAGAAGGAGATCAACATACTGTAACCCCATTACTGATGACCATACCCCCTTTTTCAAGCATAAGTTGTTATAAAACAAAAACACTTTAAAAGATAAAATTCTTGAAACTACAGAGGTTTGAAGTGCTGGTCCTCTGCCACGACGTCAACGTATTTTTTATTCTAGGAGCTTCTTGGGGGATCTCACTGCAAAGAGGTGGGAAAATGTCTGAGATGGTGTGGAGACCAGGATGTGCTGTTGGCAGGTCAGGGTGTCTTTGGGACACAGACGTCTGAACAAGGTTTCCTGGTTCTGTTTACAGCATCTGCCTGCAGTAGAAATACTTCCACTTCTCCTTTTCCATCCTTCATTTTAAAAACTATCGCAGAAACAAGTTCAGTAAAACGTGCAATTTGAAAACGTGATAGCAGTGGAAGTACATGGGTGTTATTACAACAAATAAACACACAAACACACATTTTGTTCTTAAGATAAGAATCTTTCACCTTAGCTTCAACTAATCGTAATCAGTGGTTTCCTTCTAATGAAATCTACATCAAGTTCATGCAAACAGGCTGAATAAAGGAAATAAGTATGGCACAGCAAATGATGGAAATTTAAAAAGAAGTAGAGAGGAAGTTTTTAAGTCACGTCATAAAAAACTGCAGTTTGACAAGTGACAGTTTGAATGAGAAGGACTTTTGCCCACAAGTACCTTGGTGACAACTATGGTCTTCTTAAAGTCTCTTCCTCCATATATTCTGAAGCCCCACGGTGAGGGACCAATCAGGTTCACGCTCAGTGCCATTGAGTGATCAGATTAATGTGCGCTCAAGTCAAAAACCTGAAAACAGAAGACAGAAAACATGACATTTACTCCAAGTGAAACATCCAACCTAAACATGTGTATATGACTAAATGTTTTCAGTCGCATGTTTCCGCCCAATTTCACATCAGAGAAACTGGTAAAGCCTGAACGTTTGCATGAGTCTCCCTTTATCTGCAGCATCCTTTCACTTTGACTGGTCCAAGTCTGTTTGACAGGGATTGTGCAACCACATTAAAGAGTAATGGGAGGAATCTGAAACCAAGGACACATGACTAACATTGCTTAAGTGGCTGCAGACCACAAAGTTTCATTAAATCCAAATGCTCCTTCTAGACAAAGGAAACAAATCAAAACTTGTGTGAGCGCAGGGCAGAAGGAGCTAGACGTCACGCTGAGGTTAAATATGTTCAGTGGATTGAGCTCAAGTTCAAGTCAACTTTATTGGTCATTTCCATCACATGTGCTACATGATGAAATTATGTACACAGGGTCCCAGTTACACCCAGTAATAGCACAAATATAGTGTAAAAAGAAATGGTACATAAGGATCTAAGATATACGCTAAGATTTACGCTAAACACTAAACAATACGACGTAACAACAGCAGCCTGAGATGTGGCATAGATCTCATATGGAAGCGGTTTGGCATGTAAAAAATAAAGAATTAGGTTACAGAGAAACTATTTGTTTAGAAATGTGTATGCTCATGTTTAAATGACTGTTTACAGATTACGCTTTCTTCAAGCAGCATTGATGGGTTTCTGTTCTATAATATAAATGAAGTGTTTAAATTTGGTGTTATTTGTTTTAAACAGGTCGTTCTTGTAAATGAGCCCTCGAGGCTCAATGAGACTAACCTGTATAAATAAAGGTTGAATGAAAATTCAAATTACCACGTGATTATAAAGTCAAGACTAGTAAAAAAAAACCTGATGGGTTTAATTTCACAATCTCAGGTGGAGCAAATGTCTTCAGTGCAGAATTTGTGTTAAAACAAATCACCAAAACTTCACAAGATTTTTTTTTATATATTTCGCACTAATGCAGTTTAATCTAGGAATAAATGTCAAACTATTCTGTAAATTACACATTGTGGAAGTCACATAAAACAAAAAAAGATGAGACAAATCCAGCATACAAAGGGCTTTAATTACTGCAGGGAATAAAGCTTTTAAAATCGTACATGTCTTTTGTTGATGACACCCACTATGGTGCGCTGCAGGAAGACTTTTTATAGAAACACACAAGAACTCTGGATTCATCCAAATAGATATAATAAACAAATATAAATACTATGGGTATCTGACTTCTTATTGTTTGACCTAAACTGTTTTTTTTTCTGTCCATGACATTGCAATAACATTTTATGAAGTTATCTATTTGGGTCGACATTCTAAACACATTTACACCATTTTCTTAAACATTAGTGTCTTTAAACTGGAGCAGAATACGATTTAAAGCATCAAAATGGTTAATCTCTTCGACTACAACCTGTAATTTAGCTGTCAGTCTCCTCAGCCTCTGAATACTTGTGCATGAAGATTACTTGTTGTACTACTGCATGTACAGAGCTCTGCGATGATGGGATAAACGCTGCACTGGTTCACAAACACATCAACACCTGCACAGTCCAAACGCTTGCAGCAAAGCTGCCATGTGACCTTATTTGACAGAGAAACCAGGCTTTCATTTCAGCAACAAGTTAATATATAGGTGCACTCAGACGATGCTATAAGCTATTTTAATTATAGACTGAATCTCTCACGCAGAGAAAACGGGCTTCAATGCAGCAGATTTTCAAAGCTTCACAACAGCTTTTCAAAATAAATGCACAGCTTAAATGTAACATTAAGTAAAGAATAAGTTGGAAGAGTTGACGAGGGAGAGGGCGGGCCCTGGAAGCCATCTTAGCACCAGCAAACCGTTTTTTTTCCACTCTGGGAGCGAGCGGTTTGTGGGATTAAGTTTGGTTGGGTGGCTCCACAGATTGAAGAAGTCCTTTGGATGAAGGACGAAGCGTCTCAGCAACAAAAGAAATTGTCCAGATGACCTGACTGAACATTGTTGGATTTATACCTGGATTCATGAGCATGAACTTTGGTGTAAAGAATAAGTATTACAAGAACTTTAGTTACTTTTTTGAATTTATTATGTGGACATTATTATTATTAGTAGTAATTTTTTTTCTTTTTTTTCTTCTTCCTACTCTCGGTGAAGGTGGACACTTTTTTCTTCCTCCAGCTCCTTCCTCTATCTGTCCTGCTCCTGCTCTCTGTCCTGTGTCATTTGTTAACCTTAAACTCACCTTCGCTGGCCTTCCTCATCATGTTGCTTTTTGTGCTAAGGTTTTTTGCAACTCCACACTGTGTCCTGGACACGGTGTAAGATATGATGTTTTTTTACCTCATCTTTCCTCGTGGTCCCCTTTTCCTTATTTAACGAAAAGGGCAGCGCCTCCCATGATGGCTGCAGCCTCAAGCACCCGTCTACCCCTTTGGACGGCTGTACAAAAATTTAATTTTATTGAGCTTCTTGTGCAATGACAATAAAAAGCATTCTGATTCTGATGTTTTGTCTTCTTCTTTTCGAGTTTTTGCTGCATAGAAAGTACGACAGTTCCCCGTTGAAGACAGCAGTGCAGTTTACCATTAAATGAGTTTCGGGAGGTACATATTTTATTGATGGCTGGTTCTGATCCATTAATGTAATCACAGCTCCTGACTAACTGATCTCATGTCTTTTATGTTGTTCAATATTTATTTTATTGATTTAATTGAATATTTTCATTAAAGATGTACTGATTAATCAGTGGTGCAGGAACAAAATGATTTTCAGCTATGCTTCACCAGTGGTCAGCAGCTGAAGTGAGCAAATACACTCATTTATTCTCTGGTCATTGAATGCATCATAGTGATGCACTAAATTTTGCTAAAACATATTTATTGTGAATTATGTTAATGCTACAGAATCAAGATGTCCTAGTTGAAGCGTTTTAATTATTTTGGTCTTTTATTATTATTATTATTATTGCTAGAAAACCAACACTTTGTCTTCATTAGATTTGGGCAGGGAGTGCATTACATTTGCAACCTTCCCCTGCAGAGAGATTTAGAGGAGTGTTTTCACAGCAGGAAAGTAAATATTGTCACATTTCTACCAGACGACAGGGTCATCATCACTGCGGATTACAGAAAAGAACCAGCCAGCTCTTCTTGTTCTTACATAATATGACCTGCTGTTTCCTTTGGACCAGTTCTTTATTGTAAGAGTGTTTCCAAAGTTAACTTTTTCCTCTTATGCAATTCACATGAGCTCAGTCATTACAGACAATTTTGAATCACTTTATGAAGCCATAAACAAATTGCCCTGCAAAGATTTCATGAAGGTATTCATAGAGACAGTTATTTTTAGATTCCCAGAGATGTTGTCAGCTTTATGCAACCTTTTTCCTAAACCTAACCTTACACCTGACCCAGAGGACTGACCCTAAACTTAACCCCCTGACCCTTTACTCTGAACCTAACCACGTGAGCCTGTTATCAGTGCTAACAAAGCTGACAACGTACCTTTAAACCTTTAACTAGGAGGTACAGGAGGGGCAGTCTGAACGCTACATATGGGATGATAACAACTGGTAATAAGCCATTTAATGGCAGATAACATTCAAAGCAAGTGATACAGGTCTCCAGTTACACTGTGGTGAGAGTTTGGTCTAGCAGAGACTGACCAGATTTCTTGTTTAAGTCCTGAAGAGGAAGATTACAGCCAAGTTCAGAGGATCCAGGACAGCAGCCCAGTCCTGCCCGACATCCCTCCACGCTCCCCCCTCACTGTCTGCACATTCCACAAGCGTTTGGGACAAACAGTGCATACCTAGTTTCTCATTAAAAGCCTGGGCCAATTAACAGGGCTCACCATCGTCAGTCTCATAATTGCAGTGGCCTGCAGAAATAAGTGCAGCTGTGATAATGACAGGGAGCAGCCGGCCCAAACCTTCCCAGCCTTCGGGGGGAGTCAATTAGTTCCTTGAGTCTCTGCAGCCTCTCCTGTACAGTGACTACCATCAGCCATGCATCTGGACAATTCTGTGTAAATGTTTAGTGTGTCTCACAAATTGCTTTAAAAAGAAAAAACAGGAGGACGAACGAACGCTAGATGTCAGAAGAAAAGTTGTGGTGATAAGAAGTGACTCACTCGTGTGTTGTGTGGTCACTGGTGAGTTCTAAGAGGAAAAATTCACACCAAGCTTGTGTTTTAAAGATTTCCCACCGGCTTTTAACCAAGTTACACTTTGCATTTTAATTGAAAAAACATTTAAGAATTTTAATTTTGATCATCTAATGGGCTGGTCTGGATTCTTAACTTTTTATCTAACGGAACCTCAGAGAGTGAAAGTAATGGAAGCATGCCAGAGGAAACAATCGTCTCAGGGCTCTTTTGTGTCTCCTCTTCATTCCCTACACCAATGGCTGCCAGAGTCAATCTGAGCATCGTTTTAGCTTGAAGTTTGCAGAGGATTCTGTAATTATCAGTCTTTAGAGATAAGGTGAACCAGTTGTCAATGGAACTGACTTCACCAGTCCCAGAATAGTCAATAAGAGGCAGATTGTTGATAGGGTGGAGAGCTATAAATTTATCGACTGAACTTCTGAGAGGTGTGCAGCGTTTTCACCTCCTTTGTAAACTCTCACCGTTTCATGACAGGACTCGTGGTGCTTTTGATTTTTTTTTTTTTAAGAGTTTCTTTTACTTTTTTTCTAATTTATTGGTTTGGAATTTTAACCTTAAAGATGTAGGACCTTACCCTCTAAAATAAAACTGAGCAGTAAAATAATGGGGGTAAAGCAGAGTTCACCATCGGACCTGTTCAGAAGTCAAGCGCTAAAGAAGACAGACTCCATCCTCTCTGACTGCACTCATCCTCCACTCCGGGTTTTGGTTTTTGGCTTCTGGCTCCAGACAGGAGTTACTTCTTATTAGAACCTTCAACCTCACAGCTGTTTATTTTATGAATG